GCTGTGATTCTCTTTGTCTCCGTGTGGTCGGGTCCAGAACCGGGCAGTAACAAGCCGAAGAGCTCAGGATGAGAATGCTATGGAAGACGTGGTATTCCTGGGTATGTGGGTCCCCAGAAGCTCCCTCGAGGGCAACCTCACCTCCCTCTCAGGCTGCCCCTTGCGTTTAAAGCCAGCTGCATGATCACACTGGGAGGAAGCCTAGACTACATCTGCTGGGAGGCATGGGCGCCAGCAGCAGACCCTCCCTGTGGGTGAGTCTGTTCTCAGCCGAAAGGATGTGAGCCTATGCAAGATGGAACCTAGGTGAAGGTGAGTGTCATTATCCACCCCATGAATGACAATGACACACGGACCAACAACAGTGAGAACCCGCAGCAAGCTGGGTAAACTACAGAGAAAACCCCCTGAAAATGAGGGCATGGGCATTTGGGCGTGCTGGTGGTACATGTCTTCCAAAGCCCCCATGAAAGGCAGGGGGACAGTGGTCCTGCAACAAAGCCGGAAAAGGGCCACGGGCCAGAGTTTCAGCTCAGGATCCCCCAGCCACTGACTGAATAGACTGACAGGCTCTTGCTCAGCCAGCTTCGATTTTCTGGTTTTTGCCAAGGTCATCAGAGAATGCAAGGGGAGCAATCCCCACGGGTTAGGGCAGCCATGTGCAAAGCCGCCAGCTGCCGCACCTTCCCCTTCCGCACCTTCCAGGACTCCCCACTGGCCTTGCTGGGCCTTTCTTAGAGCCTCACGGTAATCTGAGACTCTTCCCACCCAATCTTCCTTCCCTCTCTCCGTTCACAGGTGCCAGGCTCTTCCTGCCTACTCCTGCTCCTCCCGCTTTACCCTGCACAGCTGTTTGCTCCTATCCATCTCCTGCATGTCTAATTCTGTCTTGACACCTGCTGCTCACAGGACCTGAGCTAAAAGCCCAGCATATTCATGGTCTGGGTCCAACACACCCCTCGAAAGCTGATTCTCAGGGTGGGCAAATTCGGAGAATTTTTATAATAGTCAGAGGGGCCTGTGGACCGAATCATGCATGGAATGTTGGGAAAGAAGGCTGGGGAAGGGTGCAAACATCTGAGAAAACGGACATGATGCTTATCAGCAGATGCAATGAGCTGGAGAACTTAGGACGGACGCAAGTTGGCCCACTTTGGGAGAGGCAAGCATTACCTGGAGCTGGTTTGAATCCCAACACCGCTGTCTCTTAGCGGGAGTTTCCTTATCTATAAAATGGGAATAATTCAACTTACCTTGCTGGGTTGTAAGAATGAAGAAGGTGACAAGGCAAAGGACTTGGCAACGCCCTGGGAACATGCTCTTGATTCAGAGTAGCTTTGTTAATTACTTGGATTTTCCTTCAGGAAGAGAGAGACGACCTCTCCTGTTGCCTGAAAGCAGGCAGGGACTGGTTCAAGGAATAAAAACAAACAAACAAACACTGGATCCACCCTGGGAAGGGGTCTGCGGGTCTGACGGTCCTGGGACCCCTGGAAAAGGTGAGGGTTCTGTGCTCACCTGAGAGCAGGGGCGTGGGGTGGGGAGGGTGGTGGTTAGCTGTTCCGGTGGGCACCTTGTTGCTTGCCATAGAGGGTCTGTGTTGTGAGATGCTCCTGGAGGGAGGGGCCAGGGGTGACAGTGGGACAGGCGGTTGGGGGGAGTGGAGGGAGAGGAGAGGAAGGGAGAGGAGGGAGGGGAGTGGAAGGGAGAGGAAAGGACCTCAGAAATTAAGGTGAGGTGGTTTCGGGACAGCAGCATCAGACAGGATGAAAAATGGACCAGAATTGGAGCCTGGGAGTGGAGTCAGGGCCCAGAGCCCGATGGCCAGCCCCTTTGGGCTCCTCTCCTTTCCTTTGCTCCTGGCCCTCAGCCAGGGAGAGAAGTTAAACTGCCAGCCCCATCCACCGTACCCTGGGGAACTAGGCTGTACAGGTTGGAGCCAGTTTGAAAGGGGACTCTTGTCCTCAGAGGCTCCAGCCGATGGCTGTAGCTCTGTGTGGGGACGAGGACCGACCTAACGCAAAGGGGGAATTCCAAGAAGACACAGTCCAGGTGTCCAGTTCTGTGGATGCCTTGGCCCTAGCCCTGGTGGCTCCGAGCTGGCCACATACCTCTAGGTCTGACCTGGGGGCCCAGTACAAGGCAGGCCCTACTGGGGCCTCACACAGCTCTCTGACACCTCCTTTTAAGAGGCCCTTTTTCCTGAAAAGAAGGGTAGATGACAAATTAAGTCCCCCAGGGCTGACTCCAGGGAAAAACGGTGGTAGGTGACAATTTGTCTCAGCACAGTCTCTCCCTCTCACTTTCAGCTCTCCTTCCCGAACCACAGGTGTCTGGTTCTGGCTGTCAGAGTGCTCTGTGGCCTGGCTCTCTTTTCTGCCCGGGAGGAGAGGAACCAATAAGCTAACCACATCAAGTACTTCATTGGACCCCCACTCTTCCCAGGGCAGGGACTGGTAAGTGTCAGTGGGATTGAATTGGAATCTCCGTAAACGAAGGAATGAAAGAACTGGGGTGGCTCCGTGGGCTAAAGCCTCTGCCTTCGGCTCAGGTCATGATCCCAGGGTCCTGGGTTCGAGTCCTGGGATCAAGCCCCGCAGCGGGCTCTCTGCTCAGCAGGGATGATGCTTCCCTTCCTCTCTCTCTGCCTGCCTCTCTGCCTACTTGTGACCTCTGTCTGTCAAATAAGTTAAAAAAAAAAAAATCTGAAAGGACTGAGGAGAGAGAACGCGTGCCAGTGCCCCCAATACAACCTGCTCCACCCTTCATCTTCCTTCCCCTTCCTATTCCCTTTTCTTCCCACCCCACCACCCCCGGTCTCTGCCTCCTGTAATCTGGGAGGCACACAGCCCTGGGTTGGACTTTGGGCAAGATACTTACTCTCTGTGCCAGTTTCCGTGTCCGTATAACAACAGGATGCTTTTGGTCTGTGGAGAGATTTAAATGAGGCATGCAGGGTGGGGGGCGGGCATTTTCTGGGTCCCACGCTGCAGGCCCTAGTGGGGGTGGGTGACTAAGTGGCTGCTGTAGGTCTGGAGCAGCTGTTCCAAGCCCAGGGGGGCAGCATCTGGGGGGAGGATAGAAGAGGGGGGCCTTCTGAGGGCCGTGGAAGCTCAGGGAGGGACTGACCAGGCCTGACCAGTTGGCAGGGGAAATGAATCCACAGGTTGAAGGAGCTCTGCCCAGAAGCAGCTCCAGTCTCCAGCACTGGAGGGACACAGTGTCCTGGCTTCTAGCCTGTCCCCACAGGCCTCTGAGGGATCAGGTATTCAACTAGCATTCAGCCAGGTGCTAGGAGAGGTCCTTTTACTCATTCGGTCTTCATTCATCCTCCCAGGACTCTGCTATGATTCTGGTGATCGAGTGGAGGGCGGGGAGGCTCAGAAAGGTGGTCAGGCAGCTGGGGGAGAGATCCGTTTGGATGACTCCAAGGACAGTGTTCTCTGTCCCGCAGCAAGAAGTAGACCCTTGTTCTGCCCGGCCGTCTGCATGCCTACTGCATGCCAGCCCCCTGGGCTAGGACCTGGGAATGTCAAAGGAACGAGACAGACATGGTCTCAAATTCACAGAATTGCATTCTCAGGAAGATGGAGAAGTCACAGGGCAGTCACAATGGAGCAGCTAAATGCTATCAGAGGTGAGCCCCCGGGATACCTGGGTGGCTCAGTCTGTTAAGCATCTGCCTTCAGCTCATGTCATGATCCCAGGGTCCTGGGATCAAGTCCGGCATCGGGCTCTTTGCTCAGCGGGGATCCTGCTTCTCCCTCTCTCTGGCAGTCCCCCTGCTTGTGCTCTCTCTCTCTCTCTCTCTCGCTCTGACAAATAAATAAATAAAATCTTAAAAAAAAAAAAAAGAGCCAAGGGGGCCCCAAAGAGGGGCCTCTGATCCACACAGAGAATCAAGTAAAAGTCCTGAGGAGTTGTGGTGGAGAACCATGAGTGCCCACAGAATTGCCCTCCCCTGATTTCTCCTCTTTAGAGAAAGAGGCCAAAGAGGTCAGGCCAAAGCAAGGTATCTGCAAAGGGGCACTTCCCACCTCCCTCCCTCACTCCCTCTGGCGCTTCTCACCGCTACCTCGGGTCCCTAAGTACAGCAGTTCCCAATGGAAGTATAGGACATAAGGCTAACAAGGGTGGGCTAGCACTGGCCTTGCTTCTCTCCCACGGGCAGGGTGGGCCCAGCTGCCTTTTCTCCATCCCCTGGTGGTTCTGGGAACTCTGGACAGCATTGGGGGAACAGGCACATGGAGGCCTATCCTCTAATGCTCAGACTGTATTCCTCCCACATCGCCCACAACTTCCTCTGAGCCTAAGTCAGCAAGACCCTGCTCCTCCCTCAACCTCCTTGCCTTCTTTGTAATTCTCATTGCCAGGAATAACCTGCTGTGGCTCACAGCACAATCCCCTTTTGCGGGTGTGGCCTCCTCAGTCAACAAGTATTCCTGCCTAGCAGGAGGAGAAGCCACTGTCTCATACCTACCCTCTTCTTCAGGGAATAATCCCTGTAGGTGTGCTCCAGACATGGGGTCATTTCTAATGGGGCTTGTCCTTGGGTGGCATCCCAGAAGCTGCATTTGTGATCGGGTATGGCCTATGGGAAGCCCCCAGAGGCTCCCTGATATGGAAATGGCCCCCTGGACTGCCCCGAGCAACTTAAACTTGGTCTCACTTTCTCTACCTGCAAGCTCCCTCTCCTGACCTGGGGGGAACAGGCATCATGGAGAGACTGCACACACAGGAGCTCCAAAGGACAATTACAATTTGTATACAAAACCACGTTTATTACAAATTCAGCAATGTGGAAAACAAAGACTTCACAAGCATTGTATCAAAAAGTACAAATTTTAAATAAATGAGTCAGAAAGGAGACAGCCAGATACACCAGCCATAGTCACAACCCTGGGGGAAGGGAGAGGGTGCCTAGAGCCCCCCCCCCCCCCCCCCCCCCCCCACCCCCGGGGGGGGGGGGGGGGGGCCCCGGGCCCCCCCCCCCCCCCCCCGCCAAGAAAGGCTGGGCACAGGGGATCTTTGGATGTGTGCAGGGCCAGGTCCTGGAGCTACCAGGCAAGGGCCCTGACTCAGTTTTCCTCTCCTTGGAGAAACGGAAAGAATCTGGAAAGTGCAGGAAATTCTGAGTCTGAAGCAGAAAGGCACAGAAGTCATTTATAAGGCACGAATGCTGCCTGCAGCCCCGAGGCGCAGGGAGTAGATGAATGGTGATCAGAGCCCAGTACCACCACCAACCCCCATCCCTGCCCCGTCATTCTCCTGACTGGTGTCACCTCTAGGTTTGGCCACAGGTTAAGGTAGATGAAGTGGACGGCACAGTCCCTGCAGCCAGGAGCCTGGGGCCAATCTTCAGAACAGATGCGTTGCTTTGCTGGCAAACTGGTGTCTAGCCCGGGCCAGGGCAGGAAAGGTCACTCAGCCCCTAAGAAATCCCCCCAGCGGGGAACCCCAGGCCTCCTGTCCAACTGACCCTGAACTCTGAGCTGCTGTGGGTACCCACCCTGGACAAGGAACTTCCAAGGGCAGTCCCAGCCATCCAGGCATCTGGAGAAGCCCCAAGTCCCCAGAGCCAAGGTTTCTCTAAATGGCAGGCAGCTGGCATTGTCAACACCCGTCACCAACAGCTGCTGGCCCCTACCCATGGTCACTGGTGACAGGCCTCCCTGGTGACGTTAGGCAGCGGGTAGGCAAAGAGGGAGAAGTCTAGGATATACTTGGGTAGCACATCCTGCAGGAGGGCCCGAGGGGCGCTGCACAGGTGGTAGTGCAGGCCCTCGGGGCTGGCCGGCCGGTACCAGGCCTGGCGGGCTGGGAACCGGACATGGGGCGGTGCCCGCACCCACTCCAGCACCTGGTTGGCATCAGCCTCCAGCCTCTCATAGGAGCCTATGAAGTCATAGCGCACGGCGCAAGGCTGGCACAGGTGGTACACAGGCATCCAGTGCTCATTCATGCGCTCAGGGTCCTCATCTACCAGGTATCTCAGGAATTCGGGGAAGGTGACATCGTCCCCTGCAGGGCTGGGCCCGGCGCCAGCCCTGTACCGCCTCACGATCTCCGCCCCGTATCGCTGCTGGTACTCTCGGATTTCGCCAAACTTGTTGCGGTAGGCAGACAGGAGGCGTTCCAGCGGGTCCCGCACAAACAGGAACTTGAAGTAGTGCTGTAAGCGGTAGCGGATCTCCTCGGGCCGTAGGTCGGCCAGGAACACCAGGTCATTGCGGTGGTCCATCTTGAGGCGTACGTCCACGTTGTCCAGGACGCCCGCCAACACCTTCAGCACCCGCTTCCAGTTGGAGCAGGCCACCTTGGGGACGTAGCAGTACAGAAAGCGGTAGCGGTCACTCACGAGGATGTGGCGCAGCAGGGTGCGCCGCTGTCCCACGGGCAAGTCCCAAGGGTCCCGGGGCATGCCTGGTTGTCCGCACACTGCCCTCAGGGTCCGGTTCCGGACGTCCTGCCTCACCTGCAAGTCCGGGTCCCCGGCCTCCAAGGACAGGCCCCCAGGCCTGGGGAGGGCCTGGCGCCAGGGCGCGCCCTCGCGGTTGGGAGGGTGCAGGGGAAGGGGTTTCATCTCGGCCAGGATGCCCCGCTCGATCATGAGGAGCAGTCCGCTGGAGGCCACGATCACCGCGAACATCAGCATGGACGGCAGCAGCAGGGGCGGTCCCCCAATCCCGGCCCGGGCCCTGCCCAGCGGGGCCCGCCTCAGTGCCCGGCCCAGGGGCTCGGCGCCATTTGGGGCCGCCAGGGGGGTCAGCGGGCGGGGGAACATGGTGCTCCAGAGGTGGGGGCCTGCGCCGGCCCGGCAGGTCGGCGGGCCCGGGCTGGGGGCGGGAGCCTGGGACTTGGGCCCGCCGCTGGCGGGAGGTCTCGGGGAGGGGTGCGGCGGCGGGAGAACCCGGCGCGCGTGGGGGTGGCCGGCTCCGGGGCTGCGGCGCCTAAGCGGGCGGCGGGCGGCTGGCGGGCGCGGCGAGGGACCGTGGCCGGATGTCCCGCCCGGCAGCTCCCCGCCCCCGGCCCCGCCGTGACACAGGCGCGGGGCGGGTCCAGGCCGGGGGCGGGGAGAGAGGCGGGCGCCCCCTGCACCGAGCTGGCGAGGAGGGAGCGTGCAGACCCCCACCCGGGAGAGGGCGCCGGAGCCAGGGCCGCCCCGAAGCTCCGCGCTTCGGAGACAAAAGCTGACGAGGCCCGAAAGGCAGAAAGAAACCCAGGCCACGGCTCCCTCTCTCGCAGCGCGTGCCCTCGGGGAGCTGGACGGAGAGGACCTGCACCCCACGCCCTACCGCACACTCTGGCCTGGCTGAGACCATCCTCCAACAGCGTGTCTGGAGGCAGAGGGCACCCGCAGCGCTGTGAGCTGAGTCCAAACTTTCGGGAAATCCTTCTTTCTCGCTGGGAGCGGAGTCCCCGGTGTGTTCCCCTCCCTCACCCTGCCCTAGCCACTCCAGTACAGAGCGGGACTGCCAAGGGTTGACCAGTGGCTCATCTCCATGGTGACCGTTAGATATAACAGTACCTGGTGGATGGCCATCCTGGTGGATTCATCCACTGGGTAACGATGAAATGTCTGGAAATGGAGTCTTCTTCACTCCCGTCTTTCCTCCCCAAGGCCTGAAGGGGTGAGATAACTGGGACACTCTGGTGAGGGGCCAATGACAGGTTGGTGCCTGGTGATCACTAGTGTGATCAGCACACATCTGGAAGGGTGAGGAGCTGGGGGGCACAGAGTGGCAGCCTCCCTGCCTGTAAGGAAACATGTGCTCAGTGGCACCAGGCTGACCATGTGGGCTACAGGCAGCTACAGGAATGCCTAGGATAGCAGGGGCCAGCCTTTCCCCACCTGAACTGGGCACCTAGCTAAGGATCCAGACTTCATCCTGTTAGGTACGTGTGGGGAGGCGGTGATGCTCGGATGGGAGGTAGCAGTGTGGTCAGAGTCCACATTTACCGAGGCAGGTACTACGGGCCTTCCCACTGCAGGGCTGAGGAAATGGAGAGGCTCAGGGAAGCTGAGAGTATATGGGTCAGTCTGATTTTAAAACCTACGTTCCTAATCTCGATCCTTCAGAGATTAATGGGCCACAAGCATGGAATTGTTGGGAGGAAGCAGCTAATCCCAGGTTATAGTACTAAAAGGGCTGAATGGAACAGGAGTAGAAGATGCCAGAAGCTTTGAGTTTGGTAGGAGAATGGAGGTACCATTGATCAGATGAATTCAGAAGCCTGAGGAGTCCTAGGGGGTGAGATGAAGCTAGAGGGCTCGAAGACAGCCCCTGGTCCCTAGTGACATGAGAGCACGCAGGGTGAGTGCAGGGAAGGAATAGGAAGCCTTGTGGCTTTCCAGCTTCACAGTGGGCACCCCACATCTCACTGCCTGATTGCTGCGGTGAATCTCAGGAAGCACAATCCGCTGATTGAGTTTGCCTCAGGGTCAGCCTTCCCTGAACTGCTCCTCACTTCCAATATAGCATTGAATGGAGATTTCTGGTGTTGGGGTTACTTTCCACCAGAAATCGGTTAAAACAATGTTGTTTATGCTGGAAGAGGGGGAAAAAGATAAAAACCTTTTTTAAATGTTTTGATGATTTGGCCAATATGTGCTTACTCCTCCGAAGAATCTTCTGTGTTAGCAGGAACAACAAAGTTAGGAGTACAGAAACAGCTGCTTCATTTGGGGGAGTCCCTGGGCAAAGTACTTGTCTCCACACCATTTCTGTCTGTAAAACAATAGGACGCCATCCACCTTGTGGGACTCTTGCGGGCAGCACACTGATGGCAGTGCTGTGGTATGTCTGTGGCAGTCTGTGCCCCTAATACCCTCTATCAAAACACACCTGCCCGATGTCCTTACCAGCATGAAGGGGGGGGGGGTAGCTATGCTCTGTCCCCGAGGAACTGCCATGACCACAAAGCTTGCTCCACACTGAGTATGATCAACACTGAGGCTGGGCTGAACCAAGGGCCAGGCAGTCATAAAGCCTGGGCCTGTGATGTGACCTTCATTCCCCAATGACATGACCCTTGGTAATGAGGTGCTATCTTCACCCTGTACCCACCTGGGGACCTGTTTCGGGGTCACTGGCCAGGGGAAGTCTGGCAACCCAAGCATTTCACACTGTCCAGGCAGGTAGCTCTGGCCACTGTGATCCCAAGAGGTCAACCCCAAGTTCTCATTCTCTCAGTCTCCTTTCCCCCTACTTTCCTGTCCTTTTTTATTTATTGGCCTTAGCCCCTACACGACAAGGGCTAAGAGGGGCCCCCCAAAATAGTGAGCCCTTCTGCACACACACCCCCACACCCCCAACAAAGATGACAGGACACAGAGGAAAACGATCCTTTTCTAAATCAATACAATTTTTCAAATTTATTTTTTTCTTAAAGAAGTACTTCTAATCTCTGTCAAAAGGGAGGTGAGGAAAGGTCCCCCCTCCCTTGTAAACACTGAAATACAGATCTGAGAAACCAGGGTCGACACACACAAAAAGTGCATTTTACAAAATATCAACTAAAATATATTTTACATGAATTATGCTTCCATTGAAATTCTACCAGCTGCATTTTCAGGTTCGAAAAAATATTTCCACATCTAAGAGATTTCAAAAGCATTTTAAGTTCTGGGCAGCAGACCCTGCCTCCGGGGGAGGAGGGGCCTTGATCTCCTCTCCTGCTGAATGAGGCTGAGCTCCTTGGCAGCAAGGGCCCAGCACCCTGGGAATGAGCAGGTTCCCAGGCTGTCTCTCCAGAGCCCCCACAGCCATTCTCTGCCAACCTCTTTCACTGCCCCACGCCTTCCTCTGAACAGCTTATTCAATACAAGGGCACCCTAGTCCCTTCCCCAGGGTCTGGGATTGGGCTTTCCATGTGTAAATTCACCTCAGAAGCCTCTAGGCCTCCCCCAAGCCCAGTGACCAATCAGGAGGATCCTGTCTTCTCAGGGATAGCACAGGGCCTGGGGTTGCTGGGAGGGCCCTCAGGATTTGCTTCCACCTCCCTCTCCAGACCCAGCCTGACTGTCCTCACCCAGTGTCACCTGCTTAGCTGGAGCTGGGTCTGTGCCTGCCCCTTCCTAGGGAAAGAGAAGGAACAGCTGCCCCCCTTGGCTCCTGCCCCCAGGGGTGTGCCCTGGGGAAGTGCTAACAGCAGGGCCCAGACCACACCGTGCTCCTCTCCTCCTCCCCACCATGCTCTTCTTTGGTACAAATAGGATAGAACCAGACTGCTCCAGCCCCCTCACAGAGAGCCCCCCAGGGGAGGTAGGAGGGGCCAGGGCCTAGTCCTGGCAAGGACAACAGGGAGTCCAGCCTCCTAACCTACCCTGGGGAACAGCGTGAGGTGAGAACAGGGCCCTTGGGCAACAGGAACAAACTAAAAATGCAAGTCCTTAGCTCCTAGAGTGAATGGCTGCAGCTCAGCAGGTCTGTGGACTGATACAGTGTTGATTCTCGCAGGGATGTAAATTAGTGCAATCTACAAAAGACTAGGGTAAGGGGTGGCAGGGCAGGGGAGCCACAGCACTCCTTTGGTTTGATTCCAGGTGGGTGTGGCTTGAAGAGTCATGTATGAAGTTCTGCAAGAGGTTTCCTAGAACCTCCAAGTGTAAGGCAAGAGGAAAAGTCTTCAATAAATCAGGTAGCAATTTTCCTTGCCCCCTGCCCCCTAACCCCCTCCCAGCTCCCTTCTGCCCTCCCAGACGCGACAAACCCCATGTTGACCAGTTAGCTTCTGGGAAGCCAGACCTGCTGGATGGCCCTCACCAGGAGGCAGACAGGAAGCTGACGCCCACAAGTGGGCCACACCTATGACTGTGCAGTACTGGGTCACTTGTCCCAGCACTGTGGGGTACTCCAGGGGCAAAGGAGGAAGCCAGGGACAGGCCCCGAGTCTACAAAGGGAAAGTCTACGCTCTGGAAGCTAGACTCTGGCTCTCTATGCCTCAAAGGAAGGAGCTCGGAGCTGTGCTAGAATCTGGGAGAGCCTGGTCCCAGGCCAATGGGGAAGCAGCGGGTCACAGTGGGTGAGGTAAAGCTGGCTCCCACTCCCCCCTCCAAGGGCCCAGGGGAGGCTAAAGAAGAGCCTTGTTGGGCCTTATTCCTGAAGGACTCTCCCCCCCCCCCGCCCGGGGTAGGCACCCCTCAGGCCTGGCCCAGCCTTGGGGAAGACTGCTTCTTCAAGTCTCCTCCACCCAGGCAACCAGAGAGAGGTACCCAGGGTCAAGCTGAGGGCTGTGATGCTTTCCCTCTATCCTGGCCTCCCCTTCCCTCCCGAGGGGCCCAGTACCCACAGGGGTCCCTGCCCTCCCCCCCACCCAAGAGAACCACAGGCCAGCAACCTCCAGCCCCCGTGGCCCCTTAACCAAGTGCTGTGCTTCAAGCAGTGCCCCCTTCCCCGAGCCCCCCTGCCCGTGGGCAGCCCCAGTGTGGGCCCAAGGAGGCTACTGAGGGTTCTTGAGGATGCGACCGTGGCGGAAATCATAGACGTGGCGGCAAAGAAAGACCAGCTCGGGGTCCGTGTCCTCGGGCACTGTGCGGTGTGGTGGGGTAGAGTAGTCTGCAGAGGGGGGCACCAGTGCTGTCTTTCGGCTGGGGAGGCCCTCGCCTCGGCGCTTGGCCATGGCACAGAATCTGCAGTGACACACGCCATTTGCTGGGTTTAGTGTGGCCACTCTGAAGGAAGATCAACCCCTTCCCCACCCTGCCCAGGGAGCTGCGGCCTCGCCTCCATCCCTGTCCCCAGGCGCTCCGGCCTCTCTGCTGACCATCGCCCGTCCATCTTCTTGGGCACTGGGGGGAGCACATCTGCTGGGACCTCCCTCCCGACACCTGCCAATTCTCGATGCTTCTCTGCAGACAGTTCCGTAACCACCCCCAAATGCTGCCCCAAGCGCTCTGCCTCAGAGAAGGAACGATCTTTCTCTCTTCTATAAA